AGGAGCCTCGGGCTGGCTGCCATTCTGGACAGGGATCACAGCTGCCGTCTAGTGATGTGCTATATATACACAGCATATATCAGAGTTCTGATAACCTCTCCGCCCTCTGCCTCTTCAGGCTGGGGGAGGTGAAGGCTCCGCTTTGGAGGGAGCCCCCAGAGGCTACACTCTCCCTTGTGGCTTCCTCACACCCTGCCCACGCTTTTGTCAAGAGACTATTAAAACCAAAAAAACCCCAAAGTGTTGCTGCGGTGTCGATTCCAGCTCATAGCAACCCTATAGGACAAAGTAAAACTGCCCCATAGGGTTTCCAAGGAGCAGCTGATGGATTCCAACTGCCAACCTTTTGGTTAGCAGCCGAGCTCTTATCCACTGGGCCACCAAGGCTCCTAAGTCCCTCCTTAAACGTCCCTCAGAGAGGGCAGTGGTGGATCAGGGGTAGAATTCTCATCTTCCACGCAGAAGACCCAGGTTCGATTCCTGGCCAATGCACCTCACGTGCAGCCACCACCCGTCTGTCAGTGGAGGCTTGTGTTGCTCTGATGCTGAACAGGTTTCAGCAGAGCTTCCAGACTAAGATGGATTAGGAAGAAAGGCCTGGCAATCTATTTCTGAAAATCAGCCAACGAAAACCCTATGGATCTGGACTCCAGAATTTCTGAAGCCATGGAGGCTGGGTGAACCCCTGAAATTATTGCCCTGAGAGAATCTTTAAACCTAAAACCAAAAATAACTCCTGAAGTCTTCTTAAAAGCAAAGAATAGTTTAGCTTAGCTAGTAAAAAATATCTGCCTTGAGCATTATGTTCTTTTAAGAACTATCTATATGGGATCAAAGTGACAAAAGCAACTTGAAAGATTAGATAGGAACCTTAGGGGGAGTCAGTTTATGCGAATGGGGGAGGAACAACTCAGAAAAGGAGGGTGAGAATGGTTGCACGACCCGAAGAACGTAATCAGTGTCACTAAATTGTGTATGTAGAAACAGTTGAATTGGTGTACGTTTTGCTGTGTATATTCTCAACAACAACAACAACAAAATAAACAACAAAATTAAAAAAAGAAAACCCTGTGGATCACAGTGGTCCCACCCACAAGTAACCGTGGGACGGAGCAGGAGCGAGCAGCATTTTGTTCCATTCTGCATGAGGTTGGCATGAGTTGGGGCCCATTCAATGGCAGCTAAAACAGCAGCAAATGGTCGTTGGTTGAGACACCCTCTGTCCTGGGTGGGACCCTGTCAGTCCTAGCTCCGCATTTCCTGAGCACTATCCCATCCCAGGTGCTGTGTTAAGTGGGCCCTTTCTTTGGACAACCCCACCTGGCCCTAGGAGGACCACACTGTTATATCCTTACTTAAGATTGGAAGACAGGCTCAGTGAGGGAATGAACACGCGTTCTGGCTGGGATTTGAACTCAAGTCTGTCTGCCTCCTATGCCCAAACTCTCCTCATTCAATCCCTGGCTGCTTCTTCCTGGGGCCAATCATCTGGGCCCCGCCTGCTCTTGTCTGTACTGATATTCTGGGAGAGCCCTCAGAGCAAGCTTGGGGCCGAGTCATCCCGATGTGTCCACTGCCTGCCAGCCAATGGGGTCCAGACCTTGGGCAGGAATTGATTTCTCAGAAGCCAGTGAGAGAGTCACCTTCTCCACTGTGGCCTGACAGTATCAAGGGAGACGGGTTGATGGGAACCAAAAGGTACCAAGCAGTCTCTGGGCTCAACTGCTCGGTGGCTATGTGACCCTCGGCCAGCCACTGGTCCTCTCTGGGCTGTGTTTTCCTCATGGGCACAGTGAGGATAGTGACAATACCTCCCCTAGCAGTGCTGCTGGGAAGGAGGAAGGAATTAACAGTGCCCAGCACATGGCATATACCAGCAGTTCTCAAGGCGTGATCCAGGGATCCCTGGGAGCGTCCGAGATCTTCACAAGCTCTGCATGGTCACAACTATTTTTTATAAAAACACTAAGATGTCATTTGCCTTTCTCCCTCTCACCCTTTTCCGAGTGTACAGTGGAGTTTTCCAGGGACAATATGACCTGTGCTCCCGGAACAGATGGGATGCGGAAGCAGATATGAGAATCCAGCTCTCTTCTCTGACGCCAGATGTCTTGGATTGAATTGTGTCCCTCAAAATATGTGTCAGCTTGGCTAGGCCATGATTCCCAGTATTGTGTGATTGTCCACCATTTTGTCATCTGATATGATTTTCCTATGTGTTGTAAATCCTACCGCTATGATGTTAATGAGGCAGGATTAGAGGCAGTTATGCTAACAAGGCAGGACTCAATCCACAAGATCAAGTTGTGTCTTAAGCCAATCTCTTTTGAGACATAAAAGAGAGAAGCCAGCAGACAGACAGGCAGACCTTATACCACCAAGAAACAAGAGCCAGGAGAATAGTGTGTCCTTTGGACCCAAGGTCCCTGTGCTGAGAAACTCCTAGACCAGGGGAAGATAGATGACAAGGACCTTCCCCCAGAGTCGACAGAGAAAGCCTTCCCCTGGAGCTGGCATCCTGAATTTGGACTTCTAGCCGTCTAGACTGTGAGAGAATAAACTTCTCTTTGTTAAAGCCATCCACTTGTGGTATTTCTGTTACAGCAGCACGAGATGACTAAGACATTAGACGTTAAAGAGAATTGCAAAAGTGAAGAACAAGATCAGTCTTCTCACTAATTTTGCTGTTGTTGTTTTGGAACATATAAGTATTCTTCATAAAAGTGTGTTATCTGTGTCAATATGTAATATACTTTTTTTTAATGAATCAATAATTTAAAGATTTCTCTTCATTTTTAATACAGTAAATACTGATGGATATTATCCACAGAAATGAAAGCTCTTTGGGGAGCTCATTTTCATGAATGTAAAGGGATCATAATGGAGCCCTGGTGGTGCAGTGGTTAAGAGTTCTTCTGCTAACCAAGAAGCTGGCAGTTCAAATCCACCAGCCGCTCCTTGGAAACCCTATAGGGCAGTTCTACTCTGTGCAATAAGGTCGTTATGGGTCAGAACTGACTTGACAGCAACGGGGTTTGTTTATTTGGACTAATAGGCAACATCATGATAAACGAAGAAAGGATTGAAGTTTTCCAAGGATTTCATTTTACTTGGATTCACAATCAACACCCATGGAGCAGCAGTCGAGAAATCAAACAACGTATTCTATCAGGCAAATCTGCTACAAAAGGTCTCTTTAAAGTGTTAAAAAGCAAAGATATCACATTGAGGACTAAGGTGCGCCTAACCCAAGCCATGGTGTTTTCAATTGCCTCGCATGCATATAAAAGCTGGACAATGAATAAGGAAGACTGAAGAAGAACTGATGCCTTTGAATTATGGTGCTGGCGAAGAATATTGAATATACCATGGACTGCCAGAAAGGAAAACACATCTGTCTTGGAAGAAGGACAGCCAGAATGTTCCTTAGAAGTGAGGACAGCAAGAATTCATCTTACTTATTTTGGACTTATTATCAGGAGGGACCAGTCCCTAGAGAAGGACACCATGCTTGCTAAAGCAGAGGGTCAGCAAAAAAGAGGAAGACCCTCAACGAGATGGATTGACACACTGGCTGCAACAATGGGCTCAAGCACAACAACGATTGTTAGGATGGTGCAGGACTGGGCAGGGTTTCATTCTGTTGTACACGGGGTCGCTATGAGTCGGAACCGACTCAACGGCACCTAGCAACAACAACAAAAGGGCCCTGGAAACCAAAATATTTGAAAGCCACAGGTGCATATGAAGTAACGTGATCACTGGTCACACTAATCTATTTATCTCTTTGCTTATTTGCCTCTGAGCCCCGTAAGGATAGTGATTTTTTTGTCAGTATTGCCCATCACTGTATCCCAGCACCTAGAACAGTGTCTGACACACAGTAGGTGCTCAATAAATATATCGATGCATCGATGAATGAATATATACTAATTAGCATTGTGATAACTTATTATTAGACGAACTTTGTTGCCGGGCACCGTGCCAAGCATTTATAAGCAAAATTGTGCAGAAAGTGTATGAAAGAGGAATAGTGAAGAGTTGAGGGACCTGGGTTTGAATTCAGGCTCTGCCACTTGCTACCGTGGGCAAGTAAGTTCCCTCCTGGAGCCCCTGGTGGAGTAGTGGTTAAGAGTTCAGTCTGCTAACCAAAAGGCTGGCAGTTCGAATCCACTAGCCGCTCCTTGGAAACCCTCTGGGGCAGTTCTACTCTGTCCTATAGGGTCACTATGAGTCAGAATCAACTCGACGGCAATGGTTTCGGTTTTGGTTTTTAGAAAGGGGGCTCACCATGGTCAGGCATTATTCCTGGCACATAAAGGCAGGAGCCGTCACATCTTGGGAGGTAAGAAGCCACTCCTACGCTCATACCTCCAGTCACTCCATATCAATGGCATGTAACAGGCATGGAGCAGACGCCAAGCTCAGAGCAGAGACAGAGAAGACCTTGTCGTCTAAAAGTCTCCTGTTACACAAGGGAGACCCTGGTGTGCTGTGTGTCCTTGGGCCAGGTGCTTCACCTGCCATGCCTCAGTTTCCCCATTAGTAAAAGAGAGGATCATAACAGTACCAGTCTCCTTGGGTTGCTTGGAGGAGTCAGTGAGCACTCAGCCCAGAGCCTGGTAGAGGAAACGCTCAGTGAATCTCGTTATCATTACTCCGTGCAAAGCAATTCCCCTACCTCTGGACCTTGGTTTCTCCATCTGGGAAATGGGGGTCAGAGACCAGTGTACTGGTTATTTACCTACTATTCCTTGGTTCTAATTCCTTCCTCTTCCCTTGGTACCCCTTGCTTTAGGGGTTTTGGCTGCTTCTAACAGTTACTAATAGCTAGATTGCCTCAGTCTTCCCTCTCAGCACTTCCAACACTTCCGACACTTTTGAAGTAAATCCCTGTATCAAATCCTCTCTGTCTGAAATACCTTGAGTGGGGTCCGACCTTGACCGACTGTGGCCCTACTGTGGCACAGAGAGCCCCATCTGGGCCAGCCAGGCCATACCTGCAGCTTCTTGAGCTGGCTGTTGACGGTGGCCAGGTCCCCACCAGGGTCCACGTCTTGCAGCTGGCTTTCCATGTGAAGGAGCTTCTTGTCCAGCTCAGCAAAGCTCTGCACCAGCTGGTCAGCCTTGCTGGCCTCGAAGAGCTGCCGCGCCTTGGCCTGGGTGGTGCTTTCCAGCTCTGCCCAGCACTGCCGGATCTCACCCAGCTTCTTCCGCACCGAGGCTGCCAGCTCGGGCTTCTCTTGCATCAGTTGCTGGCCCTCCTATCCCAGGTGAGTGGGTGGCAGGAGATGAGGGGGAGGGGTGGGTGGTGAGGAGGGACGGAGAAAGATGAGGGGCAACAGTAGACAGGGAGAGACGTGGGGAGAGAGACAGAGGCAAGGAGTCAGAGACACACAGAGACAGAGATACGAAGGATGGGTGTAGAGATAGTTCAAGAGATGGAAGGAATGAAGACATGGGAAGAGAAACAAAGAGAGACAGACAGGCATGGAGGGTGAAACAGACAGAGAGACAAAAGCATGGGGAGACAGAGATATGGGGAGGGATACAGAGACATACGAAAGAGACAGGGAGGGACGGAATCACGGAGTGACGGACACAGGCACACAGAAACATTGCGAAACACGAGGAGAAGCGCATGAGAGAGACAAAGGGAAGTCACAGAGAGAAGGAGAGACAGAGAGAATGAACTGCCATTAAACTCAGGTTCAAGAAGGGTGTCTGCCACGTCCCACCACGTAAGGGCTTGAAGCTGGCCTGGATGGCTCCACTTGACTCAGGAGGGAGGTATGCAGCGATGCAAGTCTAGGGGTTCAGTCAGAGTACACGCAGTTATGAGGGTTCACAGCAGAAATCTGCCAAGACACAAGTCTAGCTTGCTAGCCCAGAGGAATATATACTACATTATATATTAATAATAACAATATCATAGTCATTACAGACCACAGGTGTCTGGCCTTATGGGAAGCGCTTTATACGCCCGAAAGCCCAGGGAAATAGCTATCTTTCTTATTTCCTTAACTTCACAGAAGGGCAAACTGAGGCTCGAAGAGGTTAAGGCACAGATACCATTAGAACCCAGGACAGTGGGAATCCAAAATTCCCCTTAACCCTGGCCTTTCCAGAGCCACCCCTGCTTGTTTCCATGACTTTCCATCTCATACGTCCCAAATGGTGTGGAAGGAAGTCTGGTGGGGAAGGATATAGGCAGAGGCGAAAATGTTTAACAATGAGGAGGGTATATGGCCACCCTTCAGAAGAGATGCTGGCCATTTTACAGATGGGCAAACTGAGGCTCAAAGAGGTTACATGAATCTCTCAAGGCCACAGAGCTAGGAACAGACACAGAGCTGATTTGACCCAGTTCGGGGGTGTTAGACCAGCCAGATGGCAGTGGCGGGGGTAGATGCTGAGGCGTGGGTTCCCTGGGGGCCTTCAGCAGCTGGCACAGGCAGAGGGGCACTCTGCATCCTCACCCTCTCAATCTTCTCCAGCCACTCCTTATTCTGAGCCAGCTCGGCCATGAATGCCTGGTGCCGGAGCCATCTCTTATGCAGCTTATGGCTGTCTTCCCGCGTGCCATCCCGCGCCATCAGCATCTTCTCATGGATCCAGCCATCCAGCTGTGCAGGGTGGGGAGGGGCTCAGTCAGTCCCCCCAACCTGGCATGGCTCCCCATCCCCCCATCACCTCCACAGGTCCCAGTTTCAGGGACTGGGCTACTAGTGTTGTGGGGGAGGAAGAAGGGATCAAAAAGCCTTCACAAGTGAGGCCTTTATTGGGGTGAGGGGATAGCACATGCTCTTTCCTGGGGGGTGGAGGATGGAGGGAGGGATCCCCAGAATGCCTGGTTCCTTGGCTCCCCTGTCCTGAGGGCAGCCCTCCTCTACTCCCCACAAGCCTCCAAGGCAGAGCTTCTGGGTCAATCAGTCTCTTCCCAGCTGCAAACAAATCAACCCCTCAAAATAATCCCTCCAACCTAATTCAGCAATTCCTAATTCAGCCCTCCCCCCACCAATAACAACACTTAGACTCTCCAATTCCAATTCAGTCTTAACCATGCTCAGTAAGGACCAATTCAAGATCCCCCAACCCCATTTTCATCAAATGAAGCTGCTATATCTAGCTCCAGCCCCTAAAAGAGCCAGCTCAACCTCCCAAACAATCTCCCAACTAGTGCCAAATCTAGCTCTCTCCAAACCAGTCCCCCAATCTGGGGTAGACCCATCCCTCACAACTCAGATCCATCCCCCCAATGTGATCCCACATAGTTCCCCGAACTCAACCCTGGATCTCCAAAACCACAGTTTCCCAAACGATGACCAGTCCTAGCCCCCAACCAAAGCCAATCCCCAAAATATGAGCAACAAGGCTGACTTCTGGCACACCAGACTAGCCTATCCAAAATCTAGCCCCAGGCTCCCCAACATGGACCTCCCAAGTTGGCCCCCCCAAAACTAAAGCCATTTCTAGTCCCCCTACCCACCAACAAAACCAGTTCCTCAAAATGCAAGCACCAAGAGTGGGCCCCTCTCATTACCCTGGACAAGGCTGCTTTCTGAGCCCACCCAAAAATGAGACTTGTCCCCCCCACCCAACCAGAACCTCCTCATTTATGACCAAACCTGGCACCTGGGACAGTTTGCTCCTTCCGCCTCCCCCCGCCCCGCTCTGGTCACAAGATCCTCCTCCTCCTCCCTCTTGCAAAAAAAAAAAAAATCAACTCAGCTCGGGCAGTCCCGGAGGCAAATGCAGTCTTAGCCAAGGACAAATCCTGAGCCGGCCAAACTCCGCTCCGCGTCCCCTGGGCGTGAGCTTCCCAGGGGTCCGGCGCAGTTTCAGATCCCCTCACAAAGACACACACTAGAGCCAAGGCAAAGGCTGAACCCCTCAACTCAAGTCATAGGTTTCCCTATGGAAAGGGTCAGCCAATGGCAACCACAGCCCCCAGTGAAGGCAAAACCTCCTAAAGGAGGTGGCACCACATCCTCAAGGTAAAGTCTCTCCCAAAGGTGACTGCCCCCCATCACTGAGGGCAAAGCCAGAGTCCCCAACAACCAAAAAATGCCCCTAAAAGTCAGAGCTCCCTAAACCCAGAGCAAATCCAGGGTCTTCATCACCCAAGGCAGAGCCCCTCCCCCAAAAAAGTAATTCACGCCTATGATCCAAAGCTAATACAAATCCCGTAAGAATCAAAGAAGAAACCCCCAAAAGGTTGAGAGTCCCCCAACCCCACGGAAGAGCACCCTAGAGAGGTTGAGACCCCCCGGACCCCAAAGCAAATCCAGACTCCCCAGGAGTAGCCTTAGAACTTCCCTCCCCTCCGCTTTCCTCCCCCGGGGCCGGGCCCCTCAGTCCCGCCCGC